CATTGGCAAGTTGATCAGCATACAATTCACAACGATTGTGCACTGTCATTTCTTAATTTTTGAAAACACGGATTGACAATAATCATGCATTTTTTTCCAAAATAATTTTATTTCTGAAAATAATTGAAAAGACAAATGTTTTTGTTTCTTAAGGCAATTTATTTCTGCAATGGTTGGTTGAAACTCAATTTGTTATCATGTTTTCAACTGGTTTCTAGGATCTTAGGGCGTTATATCTTGCTTTAGGATCAATGATCCAGCCCCATACCCTTGGAATGGCATTCCTGGGTTGACTTCTGCATTCTAGCTTGCTTATTATTCACTTATCATTTCTTTATCAGTTTGAATGGAGGCTTAACATATTCTTCAGTTATGTGTGGCCTACATTTTTTAATATCAGATGAGGTTTAACACAATTGTTTTGGTTTGCTGAAACTTTCAAATTTGGCAGTTTTCACCTGTTGACACCCCTACTTCCATCCATTCTTTCCTTGATTATTGGAAACCAAATGCTATTGTGCTAATGGAAAGTGAACTCTGGCCAAATCTTATCATGGATGCTTCTAGAAATGGTGTAAGTCATTCTTTCTAATTAGTTTGTGAACCACATGCATCTTTAGAGCATGTAAGGGAGAGAAAAGTTGACGAATGTTCAATTCATGCATCTGAACTGAAACTACATAATGTAGTACATTGAGGCTGACCTTTTAAATTTTAAATGGTCAATCATTTAATTTCTTTGTTCATTCATCTGCTTCATTTATGTGTGTTGTTCGTGCATCATATCAGTTCATTATATTTATTCTAATATGTTCTAACCCATTACTCGCATCAGATAACACTGGCACTTTTAAATGCTCGGATATCCGAGAAGTCCTTTAAATATTGGTCAGGACCAGTGCTTCTACCATTAATTTCATTGATGTTATCAAAGTTTTCATTGATTATCCCGTTGGTATGTTCTCCTGGATCTTTTTACCTTCTCAGGAGTTCAAGTATTTTATTATGCAACCATTGAACATTTTGAATGTCATAGAGTACAGAGCAGGGTATCCGGTTTCAGCTGCTACAGGCCCCTCCTCATATCATTCACTTTTCTGGTGATTTAAAATATGGTATGCCATTTCTTTCAGTTACTTAATATTTAAACTAAATGAAATTGAACATGAAAGTTGATGGCAGTCTACTAGTATACAACATCATTTTGTTCTTTTAAAACAAAAGTACCTGCTTAGCTTACATGTTCTTGCTGCTATATTTACATGTGTAGTTATAGAAACTGAATTTTTTGTTGTTGGTTCTTCTTGAAATGTTGAATTTTCAAAGTGATAAAGTGGCCTGTACTAATCTCATCTTATCTCTCTTTTCATTCAGTTATAGAGGATTTTGGAGTCAATGAAAGAGGCCGAAATAATATAGAAAATCTGAGAGTACAGCTTACTCAAAAGAAGGTTTGGATGGCTTCTTCCATTCATAGGGGAGAAGAAGAAAGTGAGTTCCATCTTCTATACCTCTGGCATCATGTTGTAAATACTTATTTGTTCCTTGGAGCAACCTGATTAGTTTGCTTATCATAAAATAAATGGGAGGGAAGCAAACAATATGAGAAAATTGACACAATGTAGGTGGTTTGATTGTTCTGAGATTTGGTGTAAAGTCAGTAAGGATGTTTTGTAAATGATGACCTTGAGTTACAAAAAAGTCTTTTTCTAACAAACATTTTTTTTTCCTTGGAGCACCTGATTAGTTTGTATAACATAAAAAAATGGGAGGGAAGCCAATAATATGAGAAATTTGACACAATGTATGTGGTTTGATTGTTCTGAGATTTGTTGTATAGTCAGTAAGGATGTTTCATTTTATGATTTGTATATGCTGTCCTGGTTACAAATATTTTTTTTCTAGCATAGCACATTCTATTTTCCTTCTTTTTTTCCCAGTAAATTAGCAATTCAAAGAAACATGATGTGTTATTATTTTGGCCTCATTTTGTTTAATTGTTAGATTCCTGGAATTGATATTTTTTTTGGAAGTTTCTAGTGCTAGAATGTATGTTTCTTGTCTTCTACATATTGTCCTACTTATTAATTTCATGGGTACTTTACAATTAGATGAAATTAGTTTGCCACACTCCTTAATTTTATACTCTACTCTTTAATATGTCTAGATTTGATTGCTTTCTCTGCAGTAATATTAGGTGTTCACTTTGCCCTTATGCAGCAACAACCTAACATACTGACAATTATTGTCCCTCGGCATCTACAACAAGGAAGAGAGATTGCCAGAGTAAGTTTTTATCCTATATCCTTTGGAAACATGTTCTTTTGGTTTGAATGGCTATCTCCCACAGGAAGAACTTGCAATCAAGACAATCTGCTACTGTTAAAGAAATTGCCTGATAAGATGTATATTAGGAAATGACAGAGGGAAATTGAGTACTTAGTGTAGCAGATTCCATGGGCAGCAGTCAATGATTTATAGAAGGAAACAATTGAGTGATTTTTGTGTGGCTTTATAAAGGAATCAAGGGAGGAAGTTGACTCGTAAAACTGTAGGAAAGGAATCAGTTGAAGGATAATGAAGAAAAGTTACCCCAGCTTTGGGTTTTTTGATCTAGTTACTAACAGATACTAAATGTTGGTATCTCCCCTGGCTGGCAGAAACTCAAACCATTGTTCACTAGTTTGCAAGGCACCAGTCCCTACTGCCAGCCCAAACACCTGTTAGTGTTTTTGGGCTTTTGTTCATTGAGAAATGTAACTTTCATTTACAAGAGATTTTCTAGAATTTTTTATCTTGGCTTGTTTTTTTGAAGTGAAGAGAATCTTAAATGTAGGCTAATGATTACCAAATTATTGTGTTTATGTATGTATGTGCTCGTATCAAATGACAATCAGTCTGTACATCTCCTTTTAGAGTAATTTGCATTCAACAAAAATAATACTAAAAAATTATTGTTATTTCTAAACACTATTACTTTTTCTACAATCTCTGAAATTCATGGTACTTCTGTTTGATTTACCGCAGAAATTGGAGAAAGAAGGACAAAATGTGCTTTTGAGGTCTCAATATGAGAAGTTTAAGGCCGGAACTAATATTTATGTGGTAGACACATTGGGTACAAATTCTTCTCTTTTGACTGACATGAAATGCGTCATGCATGAAAATATACTTTTGCTGAGAATTGAGACCATAGAATTTCTAGAGCTACTGAGTTGAACAGGCCTTTACAAATTATTAAAAAATGGGTACCTTCTAGGATTAGAATGATTAGGGCTAATGGGGACATCATCATGATACTCACTGTCATCCATCTTCTTTGGTAGGTGAATTAAGACAATTGTACACATTAACACCAATAGCTGTGATTGGGGGTTCATTACTTCCTGGTTTATCTGGCCATAACATCTCAGAAGCTGCTGCAGCTGGATGTGCTGTTCTGACAGGTGCATTTTAATGTAATTCTCCAATATCAGCATATTATGTGTATTTGGAACTCATAATGTATTTCAGGTTGTCACGTTGGGCATTTCTCCCACATGGTACTGGAAATGCAACGATCAAATCCTTTGTCAGTTCTTCAGGTGGGGTGACAACTCATAATTAATCAACATTGTTCTTCAGCATATAATGTTCTTAGTGATCTCTATTGTCGTTTTCTTGTAGGTTTCTGGTAAACTGGAGCTTGAAAAGGCTCTCGTCGAGCTCTTCACCAATGCAACACTTCTGGAGGCACGTGGAAGAGCCGCTAGGGAAGTGTTTTGCAGTTTGTCCTGTGGCATTGTTGAGAAAACATGGAGTTTACTAAATTTTCATATTTTTGATAGATTCTCTTCAGAGGAATCCAAGAGTCTAAGACTATAAAAAATGAAGTTTCATATTCTCAACAAATTTTCTTTCGGACTGAAACCATTTATTGGATTCATTTACCGAGAGCGATAGAAGGCAGAAGCACACTCAAGTTGCAACCCCATTTCACATTGATGGTTGTCTGAATATAGACAAAATCAAGTAAAATAAAATGTTTATTTTATATTAAAGAAATGTTGTAAATTATTTTTGTGTATCACATTAACATCAATCTTGTTTCCAATTATTGGCTTTAAAGCTTGAAGAATGTAGTTGTCATATGCTTTTTTTCAAGAACAAGAATAGTGGTTTATGAGCTCACATGAACACTAACCTACCTGTAGGCTCTTATAGGTTTGTTGGTGGGTTTGAATTCTTGTTGACTCGTGCTAGAAAATTGATATTGATCATTTAGCTCGTCACAATCAACTTAAAATATATTTATTCTATTAAATAATAATTATGGATCACGAGTTCACAGTTAAAAATGACTGAAATATTGTTGCTCTTTTAACCAAAAGGAGTGCTGATTCTTTCACAAGTTATTTTCTCAAACGTTTGGGAAATCTGGTGAGGATATAATGCAATAATTTGGCCGATTTTGAAGTATCCACATTCGTGCTTTGAGTCAACTGTCAATTAATTAATGATTTCTGTCATCATTTAAGAACTTGCTGGTGGTTTTCACTGTACACATGCTTGTCTTTTTTCTTCCTTTTTCCTTTTTCGGCTAAAAGACTATCATTAATTCTACTATATCGAACCGTAATTTGGTTGTATACGTGCATCATCGAATATCATATTATCATCTATACAAAAAAAAGGAGAAATATAAACACGTGCATCATAGTAACGTGTCAAGTACGTGCAAGAGTAGTAGTCTTTTAGTTGGCAAAGATGAGAATCATTCTTCGAGAAAAAAAGGTCAAATACGATAACTGCAAGACATTGTTGGATATTTCCAAGAACCTTTCATAACTTTGTTTCTGAATTGTGAGAAATATCAAGCTTTAGCTACTCAACTTATCCATTTTTTCTGCTATGAATAAATTACAACGAGAAATATTGGATTTATACAAATAACTCACGTAGCATATAAGGAAATGATTGGAGAACTTCTGAAATCATATGTGAAGATAACATGGTTGTGGTTATTGAGGACTAATACTGAAGGTAAGCAAGTGCAGGAAATGAAAGAGTTAAAACTTATTCTCCTTAAACTGCTACAAGCACATCAATATATAATACTATACTTAATGACTGCATTTAGTTGTTGTTGGTGCTCCCTTTGCCATCATTGTCCTGAAGTAAGGGCACAGAGTCCTTGAAATGGAGCTTCTTGAGGGGCCCGTGAGGAGAGGATGATCCATCTCGAAGGGCCTGGATAATATCTTGGAAAAGGTACTCATCACAAGGTATAGCAAGAGGGCCACTTTTGTTGAAGCCACAACCTTCATAATTGTCTAAAAGTTTTTGAAGCAAGGGATGGTTAAGGTAATCAGCCCTTATCACAAACCTTCTCTTTGCCTCTTCTCCCACCATCACCGCCAAGTGCCCCGGCGGCACGTCCCGCGGCGTCGGCTTCTTCCCACTGCCACCACCACAGGCACTCTTGAGCCACATGCAAGAAGCCATGTTGAATTTTTTTATGTTCTGGTTTCGATGAGGTTCTTGGTTGTGATTTTGTGGACTATGTAATGTTATGATATTATGTTATATTTATAAATAAATGTTTGTGTGTGTGTGTGTATATATATATATATATATATATATATATATATTGGTGTGATGCGTTGTGCTCTAAGTCTTACTTTCCATGTTCTCGACAAAGTGAGACACAGTGTGTGCTTTGGAAAACGACTGAACCAAATTCCGAAGTATGTTCACAAAGGTTTGGTATGGAAGTTTGGTGTTATCCTTGTCCCAGTTCCGCATTAACGTTTTTGTTTTTCTGTTATTTATTTATTGTAATGCCTCTAAGGTGTTATGGATAAAAAAAGAGGAGGATTTGGTTGCCTTTAATGGTGTCTCTGTGCAAAACTGCATGCTTAGTGTTATTAGGAGTTTTTGCTTTCCTCGCACCTCAAAATGGAATCCAAAGGGTGAATTCAGCCAAAAGAGACCAACTTTTGCTATTTATTTATTTGTTAACATTTATTGAGGAGGAGTAAATATGAAAAGTCGTTTATATTAATAAAATATTGTATTAATATAGTTTTAAATATGATGTTAATTAATGTAGAGAACTTCTACAAACATATAAGTATCTTGTATAACGTTTTTGAGGATTTGTTTTTGGTACTATTTTAAAAGGTTTCTTATGAATGAAGTTGATATAGTGTGGAGAGTTTATGTAAGAAAGAGAAAAGGGAATAAAGAAGGGGAGAGGCGTTAGGCATTTATAACTGTATGGTTAGTTCGGGCAGGAAATAAAGCTCCTATATAAGAGCTGATGTATCTGAGTGATAGGTTACATTTTAATTGGTATACTCTATAGACAGGATCACGTTTATCCTGTGGAGAGAGAATTTAGCTCTCTTGGAGGTTGTTTTGGATGTGGAGTTGCTATACTGAATAGAAAATATACAGTTTATACTTCTTTTTTGGTGTTTACGTGTGTGTTAGTGCATTGTAGATAGGTTTCCAATCCAGGAACCTATGATTTTGGTCCGACCTGTCGGATTAGTGAGAGATAGGAGTGAGATGGAGGGAAAATTAAATGCACTAGAAGGAAGGATGAATGTGTTGAAGGGTCGAATGGAGGCAATGGAGAACACAGTGGAGGGGCTGAAGGCGGAGACAATGGGATTACG